GATCTTCAAAGTTATATCTATCTTAATTAGAATAGATAAAATTTAATTTGCAAGATTTGCTGACATGATACAAAGCAAGTTAAATGAAAGCATTTAAAAATATGTTATTTTTTTTCTACATAATGAAGAAAGTACCTTAGTTTACACATAATTTAGAGTACAGTTGAGATTTTATAATCAGAAATCCACAATCCACTAATACTCATAAATTGGTAGTATTTGCAACTTTGATTAATATAAAACAGTTGTATGCATCTGATTCTCAAACACATGTTTTTTTCCATTCAAAGTGGAATTTTATTAAATTTATATTGTATCCATTTCAAGTGTGGAGTTTGTAATGCATGATAAGTTTTAACATAATTAAAATTGTTTGTTTGTAAATTTTGAATGCAATTTTTCTTGTGTGTTCATAAAGTAATTAGATCAATAATTACAAAATCTTTGATGAAATTTGGATGAAGATCAAAATAATAATAATAAAGCTAATATTAAGTGAATTGATAGTTAATGAATATTAAGAATAATTTTCAATGATTAAAATATATTTTGAATATGTAACTTTATTAATTTGTTAGTTAATTTCACTTTTAACATCAAACTTTAAACACTCTGCTACAACCTTGAAGTGTTTTATATTATGAAGTCTTTATTACATACTAATGTTCAAAAATGTAAGAAAAAACAAGTTAGTTCAACTAAATTTATGTTTAATGAAATAATAAAATTAACTAATGTTAAAAAAACATTTAATGGATAAGACATATTTGAGATTTATTTTACATTTTTTTTTCCAGCTATTATTATAAAATATAACATTGGAAAAGTATGGCAATTCATCAAATTTTGACCCTTGGTGTTTGCATTTCTTGACATTTCAGCACTTAAGAAGCTCAAAACTGTATTAATATCTGTTTTGCATTTTATCTCAGGACTAGATGAACCAAAAATTTTAAAATGGAGCAGGGTTATTTCTTTATATAGGATATTGATACTATTAAATTTTGATGGGTAAAGGTGAAGAAGGTAGGGAAGTGAGGCTCATGTCATATCTCAAGTGGCGTTTTGGACTTAATGCAACTTTAACTCATTACAATACTTTTAAAAACTTATTTTTACCCTCAAAATTAAGCGTTTTGCCTTTTCATAATAATAAATAAGAGTTATTTTTTAACAAAATCTTGTAACAGATTGCATCACACACAATTTTAACTTTGTGCTAATGTATATTAATTTTTTTAAACTTGAATATTCCTTTAAATAGAAAAATTTTTCATAATTCAACAAAATTACTCCTCTTAAGCTTTTGTTTTAAATTTTTTATCATAGTATAATTAAAAATTATCGACCTCCTTTCTAGTCCCCTTAACCTCCTGTTTGAGTGTTAGGAAAGTCAAGCAAGAGTATTTGCCAGCTTTTTTCTTAAGAATATTATATTTATGTACACAATTCCATTTAAAAAAATTTATATTTACACAAAAATTAAAATAGTTTTAAAAATTGTTTTTTAGNAGATAATTTTAATAGGTTATGTAAAGTTAATAAATTTTCTTAGTTATTACTGCTATATATTGTTTTAAATATTAAGTAAGATTGCATTCATTGTTTTCAATGCTTGCAAATTCAGCTGAGCAAGATTTATTCATAAATTTAGATTTTTAGTGTATTTTCAAAATAAAAGCAATAATATCTGATTTAGTGGCTGATTTTGGAAACTTGATTCCTTCCAAACTTTGTTTCAGAATGATAATTCAGTTCCTATGTAATAGTTTTCAAGCTTGTTTGGTATTGCCAGCCAGTAATGTTTATGAACACAGAAATGAATATAGAGTAGTTAACTAGAATTTAGATTTAATTGTTACATTAAATTATTTAAAACTCTAGTAATGTTGATCAGAAATTGAATTGACGTGCATTTGTTAACAAAATGGAACTGTTCTGTGTGCTTTTAAGTACTCAGTCCCAACTTAAGTCTGTAACGGATAAGCCAATAAACTAAATCTTGGTAAATCCAGCAACAAATTTATTGAAATAATAATATTTTCAATCAGATTTCACTAATCATCTTTAGTTACAAGCTTTTCAAATTCTTAATTACTCTCAATAAATTTCTAGCTGGATTTACCAAGGTTTAGTTTATTGGTTTATTTCAGTCTATTCAGATTTTCCATCTCCTTGAATATCTTTGACAGTTTTTCAATGATATTTCTTAAGGATACAAGCTAATCAGGATTCCAAATAGCTTATGATATTTACTGACCTGGGCATGGTCCATACCAAATTTGGTCAAGATTGGTCAAGCGGTATTGGAGGAGTTTATTTAAAATCTAATGGCATTTGAGTGTAAAGAAATGTGCTTCACTCACTCAGCTGAATAAAGTTAATGTACAGATACATGTAATTTGTTGAAAGTGATTTTATAAGAATTAATACCTTAAATCAAATTGGATATACAATAGTAAAAGAATAATGATCTGATTTTAGTGTATAAAAAAAAGATATGATTATTTTATAAATATTTACAAGTCAGTAAGGAGATTCAGAATTTGTGCAGATGTTAAATTATACTTTGTGTCATTATACAAATACTATTTTTTATGAATTAAAATGAAGAATTGGTTAATATTCAATCAATAATAATGGTTTTTTGATATATGTGACTAAGCTTAATACAGTTTTATTTTTTTATTTAATTTAATATTTTAATGTTGATGTAAATTCATATTATGTATATATATATTATCTGTTTGTAATGATGATTTAATTTAAATGAGTCTAAGATATAATGGAACAAAGCAACACTATTAACAAAAAAAAGTAAGTTTATTCAATAGTCAGATTTTTGAGCAGTGATGTCAAATTTGAAAGTTTATCTATATCAAAATTATATACATTAAATCTAATGCAATTTAATCTATTGAATGCTGATGTTTCTCTCTCTCATGTATTTATTTTTCACTTATTAATCATAAATAACAAAGCAATAACCAAGAACTTTTTGCATTATGTGAATTATTTAATTATATTAAAATCAAGAAAATATAGTAATTTTATTTATTGTAAATCATACTTTATCCATTTTTATTTATCTGAAATAGAGTGCATTATTACATTTACAGTCAAAGAAAAGTCAAAAGTCATTGCAAGTGGACCACATGATGCATTAAGCATTGATAATAAATTCTCTTCTGTAACTGCACTTACGAATAAATAACTAAACCTTACAAACCTTTAAAATGCAGTCTATTTGATTATAGCATCTAATGTTTTCAATCAATTAATTGACCTTCATCAGAAATGAATGGAAAAAATTTTTGATTTATACTGAATGAAACTGATTATGGAACGTTTTTAACTTTAAAACTTTCTTAACATCTAGTGTGCAAGTCCGTGAATAGATAAATAAAATCTATAGACCGATAACGTACAAATATACGAATACACTGCTATACACACACGAAAATAAAAGTAAAAAATAAAAATTAATAAAAAAAAAGATAGATAAACAAGTGATAACATAACGGGCACCAACTAATGTCTATTTTTTTAACTGTCCATGCCTTTTTTCTCCTTGCTGATATATTCATAATGCATCCACTATCTATGCCACTGAGACTTTATAGGATTCTCTAAAGTTTATAGTCTGTCCTGCTAGATTGCTCTTGTGTATATGCCATGCTTCTGCATTTTTAAGATCTCTCTTGTCCTGAATCTTTTGTATTATTTCTGCTCTTTCCCATTTCACCGAAGCCTTTATCGGTCTGCTATAACATACGTCGCTAGTGCAGTGACTGGGTTGCTCATTCCATATATTCCTTTTGTGCTCTTTTATTCTTTCTTTTAATGACCTCCTTGTAGCTCCAATGTAGTACAGCTGTTTTTGCCACCTCTCGTCTTGTATGGATGGCCTGTAAATTCCTGGAATAAGGCTCTGGTCTATAGCTTCCTTGTCCGTACGTAGCATTGACATTCCTGATGGTCAGTTAATTGACTTAAAATGTTAGATGCTATAAAAAAATAGACTGCAGTTTAAAGGTTTGTAAGGTTTAGATAATAGATTCTTTTGACTGTACTATTCATAATCATATCAATTCAAATAAGTTTTACTGATAACATAAAGCATTTAATTTAAATTCCTTTTTTAGCATTTTAAATTGTTTAGTATGGAAATAGAGCAGCTAGACAATACTTTTGCATGAAATTTTTGTTTTTCTAACTTGTTACTTAATAAAATTGATTAAGTTTTTTCTTTATGGAAGAAAAATTTTTAATAATTTGATTCCAAATTCATATACATTGTAGAATTGAGGAAATGCAGGAATTGAAAATGTATTATGGTATTATGTAATTCAGTTAATAACTAAAAACAAATTGTATATTTTTATTAATTACTGGGTTTCTTTTGCTGCAGTTGTAATAACTTATTATGTTGTTTGTAATTTATCATCACTTAAAGAGAAATACAAGCTTCTATTCTTAAGTGGTTTTATTGTTCAGAAAGTATATATTTTATAAAAGTATGATCCTGATTAATGAGTGTCACATTTCTGTAAACCCTTTATAAATCAATCTTGTAGAGGCAAGCTTTTTCATTATTTCTTACAATTGAAATTTGCACTTTATTCTGGCAAAACTCAGCCAGTCTATCCATGTTTCCCAATGAAACATTTATTTACTTATCAATCAGTGATGTGGAATGAAATAAAATGAAAGTATTGATTAGATTATTTACCCATGTAAAAGGAACAAATACTAAATGCATTGCAAATTTTCCAGTAGGCTGAGGTCTAATACAAATTAGACTTCATTCAACAAAAATGTTAATGTTGGTTAAGCAGTAACTTAAAATAATTTATTATTATTTTATCAACTTTAAAAATGTGTTTCGTTTTTTTTACTGAACTACACTTTTTCCCATAGATTTTAATAGATAAATTTGAAAATCTAGTTGTAAATAAATTTAAATTCAGTATATTAATGATAAAAAATTTTTTATACAGCTTCCAAGTGCAGATCCTTTATGTGATAGAATTGATATTGAAGACCTAGGTAAGTAAAATTTATTATAACATAGGAAATTTTCAAATCCAGCTATAAGAAAAAATAGTTATACTTGATCTTATTTAAGGAATAAAATGGCCTTTTATAAAGAAGGATAATTTTTTTTTTAATATAAAAAAATTATCAAATATAATTTTTCTGTCATATGAAAGGTAATTCTTGTTAAATAAAATAAGTTAAAAAGTTTTTGAAATCATTACTATGTGTTTTATAGTTTTTAGACTAAAAAATGTATTGAACAGCATATTATTTGATTGTTTTTGCCCATATAATTAAATTGAGTATTTATTTTTTAGTGTTGTTAAACACTAATTGTTGCATGTATGTATGTATACTATATATTACATACACAATAATTTTACAGGATAACCCATGATGATGTATATCCCAGAGAATATTGCAAGAATGAAAACAAAACCTTCGTGTAAACTACTGATAGGGTGATGAATCAGAAAAAGCAGACATTTTCTAGAAATTGGAATTGAGAAAATCTTGTCACTTTTTCTGATTCTTAAAAATGATTCTTTCACATTTTTACAAGAAAATTAATCATTTGTTTCAGTCAAATATTAAAAATTTTTAAAATTACAATATTAACAATTTTATTTAATTGTTTATTGGAAACTTTCACATTGACAAACATGTGATGCCCCATACATGAGGTGTCATGTGTCATAGTGGACTTTTCTTTCCTTTAGTCAGAACAATGAGATAACACTTGGTTGTTACTGTCCTCATTTTAGGGGAGATAGGGTGACTTTAGGGATTCCATGTGGCTGGCATTGGGCCAGCCTGACTGGCAGTCTGTATTCTGTATGTACAGTACTGTATATTCTGTCTGTGTAAAAATTAACTTGTTTTGAAATTTTCAAATTGTAAATTAACTTTTAAATGGTTTTATAAACATTGTTTTAATTTTCAATTGATTTGATTTTATTTTTTTGCCTGCATTTTTTTGAATCCTTACAGTTTTTTAAATTAATTGCAACTCTTTTTTTCTTTTGGAACATAAGTACAGTGGGTGATTGGTTAATGAACAAATCAGATAATGAACACTTTCGCGAAAGATTTTTATGTTCGGACAACAAACACCTTACAGAACAAACACAAGAAGAAGCGATGTAAAATAATGAACACTGGTTGGTCTTCCCTTGTCTTCAGGCAACAATCTGAAACTTTTCGGAGTGCAGGAGCCGTTGATATTGACGCTCAGTCTGGTATATGCTGATCAGATAGTATTCCTCCGAACTTTGAAACTCTTCCTTGGTAATTCCAGCCTTTTATTTTTCTGACAGAAACAATTCTTTTATAGTATTTGTGAGACTGTCGGGAATACTATATGTCTACAATTACAATGCTATTAATTACTTCTAAAAAATCCTAAAGAAGAGAGAAAAGCAACTGACATTAGACAGATTCTTTAACCCCCACAAATGGAAAAATCATGACTAATAAAAATGCAAGACTGTGTATATATGTATTTTTATTATTACATATAAATAAACATAGTAAGAAAGTATATGATTTTTATTTTTTGGGATCTCCAGAATGAATTAATCAAATTCCCATAAAAACCTATCATAAGTCGACAATTCGTTAACAAACAATTCGGATAGTGAACAAAGTCTTGGATAGATTATGTTTGTTAGCCGATTACCCACTGTATAGAAATTGTTTGAGTTGTTTCATACAAAAGATTACTAAAAAAAATTTAAATTTGATTATTTCATTTTATAAATTTGCTAGTTTTTAAAAAATTTTAATTATAGTCAAGTTAACATTGAACTGTCAGGGTGTCTAGTTTGAAATCAAGGCCAGTGGTTGGCAAAATAGTTAAAAATGTAAACAAAATTATATTTTAATTGATAAATATAAAATTATTTTTAATATTTAGTATGNACACTAAGATGCTAGTGGAACAAGTGCTAAACTAAACACAATTAATTTTTAATTTAGACATTTCTAAAATTTAATTTGGTATTGGTCATTAAATTTAGTATGAGATGGCGTGTTTATTATATAACAGGCTATGATTGTCGATGTTTATACGTAATATGTGTGAACACAAGTTTGGAAAAATGTATGATCATGAGCGACACTAAGATGCTAGTGGAACGAGTACTAAACACAGACTGATGAAGCATGTGCACAATCTGGGATTTCCTCTCTCCTTGTCACTCATTATGCGAAACATTGCTCATTAAACGACTCAAATTTTTACAATTTATTTTGCTTGTTATGCAAAATACTTGTGAGGTGCTTGTTACGCAAGGTTTTACTGTAGTACCTTTCTTGTAATATTGCTGCCAATAGTTGTAGATGATAGACACATCTCTACCCATTCTTTCCACAATCTCTTGAAATGAAAATCCACCCTCTCACATCTCTCAGTTTGAATAAAGCCTATCATAAGGCCCCATTCAAACTGGATTAATTGCTGATATGTAGTTTGTTGTCATTTTTGAGGCATTGGTATAGTTATAGTTAATTTCACCACAGCTTTTCACAGTGACACTAATGTTTATAAACAGTTCCACACATCTACTGGAAACTTCTAATTTGTTGCATTTGTTGTGGGATTGTATATGCATCTTGTGAGTTATTCCTTTGAAACTGGTATCAATGTAATAAATCATATACATAATCATTTTATGTAATTTTCATTTACCTAGTAAAACTTCTTGCTGTTGGGATTTTTTGTTTCTGGCATGTATTTATTTAAGTGTATCATCTTGCCTTGCTACATTAAGGGCATAAAGTCTGGACAAAATCAGTAGTAAGAAGCTGATTGAATGAAGATTTTTCCACACTGGATTTTTCCACACTAGAAAACATGCTACTGTGAAAAGGGCCTCTTGATCTTGTGATCTTAATACCATTGATTAATACTTCTAATGTAGGAGGTTGGCAACTCTTGGCATGTTAACAACTTTTTTAGCACAGGGCTCATCTTAAAAAAATTTATCAATGAGTTGTTACCTTCCCAGCAACATTTGGTGGCATCATCTGTTATCATATTTTATTAAAAAAAACATATTTTTAACTATTATAAAATGGCAAAAAGCTTAATTTTGAGGGTAGGGATGGGTTTTATAAAAGATTGTAAATGCTAATAACGAATAAAATCTTAAGTCTGACCCCAATTGAGATACATTTCCTTTATCTCCCCGTTCCCTTGGCCTTTAATCACCAAAATTTAATTGTATCAATCCCCTTAATAAACAAACCTCCCTGAAAAATTTCAGAAATTTTTGACAAAATGCACAGGAGTTCAGCTTCAAACAAGGTGAAGAAAAAATCATTCCCCCCACAACACATTAGCATTCATACATACAGAAAAAATCCCAATTTTTTCATTTCTCAACATTTCAAGGTCCCGAGTTCAAAAATGTAAAAATCTTGGGGGTTCATTTTTTGACTGATTACTATACTTTCCCTCTGCTATATATAGCATCTGGAAAAGTAATAAATATCAAACATCTTTTTATATTTATTTTGTTTCATAAAGGATTTGTCAAGTTTCTAAAGTGTGTATATGTTACCGCTAAAGCTCGAAAGCCGTTAATGTGTACATTACCTAGCTAATCTCCAGATTAACTAGGATGATCTGTTAACATGCAGAATCAAGAGTTTTCCGCATTTAACCTAGGTAATCCGCACATTAACGGCTTCTGTATTATTAAAGTTCAAAAGTTTGTTTCTCTCGTTTCCTTTCCCTACTACTTCCCGAATGAGACAGAGCAAAAACTGATGCACGCTCAATTTTAGCTGTGGTTCTTAGTAAAACAGAGGATGGCTTTTATAAACTTGGTACTAAAACGGGTATTTTAAAACAAATATATGCAAAATCTGAATTCAGTGTTTGCGAAGAGAGATTTTTAATGACAGAAGATGTCCCTGCTGTAGAAATATGTTTACGTCAAATAGCAATAAAACAATCCCTTGGTACTGACTGGGCAGCGTTTCAGAAAATGTGACTGAAAATCTAAGTGTACTTACTACAAATAGGTGTGCTTATTGCAAAAACCAATTGCTATGTAATTCAAAGTGTCACCAATCCTTAGATTGCTTTAATAAGTAAGCACAATTTTATCATGTTTTGCAAATTCATTTCCCTAATTGTAATAATATTTTAAACAGTTTGATTTTTGTATTACAGTTTTTTAATTGATTGATAATTGATTCTATCAACTAATTTGTTGATTGTTTGATTCTATTAACTTCATTCTTTATATATCAAAAATTAAATAAACAACATTATGTTAATTTAAGCGTACAGAAACGTTGCTGCTGTTCCAGCAAAGATCTTATTTTCAGTTTACTGAGTGCCTAGTAGGTAATGTGCAGATTACCTAGATCATCTGTATATTACCTAGGTAATTTGAGAAATGAAACAATTTTCGAAACTTTAACAGACCACCCTAGTTAATCTGGAGATTAGCTAGGCAATGTACACATTAACGGCTTTCGAGCTTTAACGGTAACATATATATGAATTTTTTGATTATTTGGAAAGATTCTCTCAGTAATTAAGACTAGTAATAATTTGTCCCCAAAAACTTTGGCTGTCATATGAGAAAATTTTGCATTTTAGATTTGGTGATTATTCACAGATGAAAAGGTTACCCACCTGTTGTAGGGTATACTAAAGAAGAATTTTGATTTAGTGAAAATCAGCATATTAATTATCTAAAATAACTCATTGCAAATGAATGTGCTAGCATTGACAGAAATACTGCATTACTATATCATGTTCATGAAAATTTTGCAGTGTCAAAATGTGCATTGCTACTGAAGGAAACAATATTGAAAATGCCATTCATTAAAATTAAATATTGTATATTTGCCTATGCATCTAGACTCTATACCACTCTATACACATTTCATATTGAGTATGATGATGATGCAACATGTAGTAAAAACTAAAGTTGCAGATGATCAATATATTCATCTTCACATTTTTATTTGATGTTCATATGCTTATACAG